AACGAGCCGAACACGAGCTGTTCACGAACAAAGAGTTCTTTTAACAACCCTAATAACGTAGTCATAAAACGATAATGGTTTGAGCAAGATTTAAAAATTATTATTAATATTAAAACATCATTTGAATCTAATTTAAGAATTTTTATTCTATTTTCTTAATCATTATTTTAATTGTTTATAAATCTTTGTAGCCTTGTAGTCAATTAGATTTTTTTTAAATACTTGATGAGTAGTATTTCGAGCCAAAACGAGCCGAACACGAAGGAACACATCTTTGTTCGTATTCGGCTCGTTAACTTATCGAACGAAATTAACGAGCCGAACACGAGCTTCTTAACGAGCCGAACACGAGCTATTCGCGAACAACGAGCCATTTTGACAGCCCTACTTGAGCCTCAAGGCATAGGCGAACTCGGATAGGAAAAACTTCTTGAACTGTGTGAAACAAGTGATTACTCCAACGAGAAATCCGTCGAATCACCTTGGAGCGATCTATCTTAGCGCTGTGAAGAACAGCTTGCACTTGAGGGCATTTGAAATCTTCAACAAGCAGATAGACGACTCAAACAATGTGGGGTGGTCGTTGGGATTCGATTGTCCTATGTACATTTCTGGGACCGGCATTTTGAACTTCTCTGGGAGTTCAACTCCGGAGACCTGCATGGAAAAAGCATTCCCCGGTTGCTTTTGTGTCTCAGTTCGCATCGGTCTGTTCCTTTCCTCCATAGGGGCAGATCAAGTGTTGTCCTGGTACAGTCCGTCGTCAGGTTTTTCTTGCAAATGGATTCCCCTCCTTCCATTATTAGCCGGCAATTCTCCTTCAGGGGGGTTATATGCTCCTTGTCGTGTTGGCTCTCCAACTGAAGCTGGAGGGTTTGCTAGAGCAGCGACAGTCCTAAGGACCTCAGTGAATTGTCCCAACATCTGGTTGATGAACTAGTTTCTTAAGTCTTGCAACCCTTGCTAAACAAATTCTTCCATGGACTCTCGGGTGCATGCTACCTCCCCTTCGTTTCTCTGGCTAGACTCTCCTTGTTTTTATTGTTGGGTTCCTCCTCTTATTGAAGGCATATTTCCATGTTCATCTAAGATTGTCCAACAAACACGCCCAAGGAATGAAACGTTCTTTTAGGAGGCAATTAAAAGAGAGCGAGTGTGTGTGTGTGTGTGTGAGTGAGTGAAGAAGTGGTAGTAAACAAGCAAAATTGTATCCTTTATTCATAATATGGACCCCTATTTATAGGCATTGGTCTCAATATTATAAAAGTACATAATAGCCTCTTAATTGTTAACCTTTCAGAGGGGGTTTTTAGTATTTTACAAAGTTATTTGTATAAAATAAGACCCATGTACAATAATACTTTGGTGCTATAAAGTTGCGCATGAAAAAAGTGCATTTAACTTTTAAGAAGTTAGTAAAGTGATATTTTGATATTTTTTGTTGTGATGCTAAGGATTTGAGTATTATGAATGCAAATATTAAAGTTGATGTGTTGATATCTAATAACACTTATGTGATATGTATGTAAATGTCCCTTGTGAAAGTTCCTTACAATAATAATCCTCCGACTATTCTCATGTGGCCATTTAATTCCAAAGTATAGAAAATTGATTAAGAAAATACAGCATGTAGAAATTATAATACAAAACTGATTCCAATTTTGTCCCTTGAATATAGAAAATTGTTCTCAATTTAGTCCCAAAGAATAATTTCGAAAGAATTTTATATACTCAAGGGACTAAGAGAAATGTAATATTGTAAGACTAAATTAAAAATATCCTAACAATCAGGGGACCATTTTGATATTTAACCCTACAAAAATATATAAATATAAAAAAAACAAATAATGACACTCACATTTCAAGAACCCATCCGAAAACTTTATCTGCCTCAGGATCCTCCTTCATTTTAAGGGAGACATTCATCCAAGTAGGAGCAATTTTTTCTAGCAGAGACTGAAGAAACCCAACAAAAAATCAATAACCGAATAGAGAATAAAAGGATGTCCTAGTTTTAGTGAAATGGACATTAACATACATAGCACACAATTCTTATGTATTTACACATCTCACACCTAAACTTTCATATTTCAACACACAACACTCAAATCCTTAATATCACATCAAAAATAACATATTACCACTTTATAAAAGTGAAATTCAACTTTTTCATGTATAGGTTTAAAGCACAAAAGAGAGATGTATGTAAATATGAAAGTTTAGGCAAGAGAATGTAAATACATAAGAATTGTGTGCTACATGAGTGCATTTCCCTTGGAAAAAATAGAGATATTTCCTAGTTTTAGCAGTAAGCATTTTCAGCCATTGAAGTTACGGAAACAAACTGAAAATCAAATTCAAATTCAGCAAGCAATTCAAAATGTGTAAATTACATATCATAACTACATCTATAAGCAATTGAAATACATGAGCAAAATATTATCTACCTTCTTTATAATAACTGGAGAATTGCCAATGGGATCAATATTTGTCACAGGACCTTTGTCTTCAGGATAGAACTTCCTTAGTATTTTCTCATTTTCAGATGGCTTAATATAGAAGAATGGGAATGCTGCCGGGTAATCTCCACGAGACAAATTCGGTAAGGGCTTCACAAATATGTGGTCTGGTTCTGCCATTAGTATGTAACTGCAAATTTCCATAAATTATACAGTATTTAGAAAAATGCCATGAAAACATGAAGAGGTGTACAAACAGGTTAATATATTCGTTCTCACTCTTCTTCAATCTTTGCCTTTTGCAGCCATTGCACAAATGCCCAAGGCCGATTCAATACAACATAACCCTGCCAAAACAATAGACAACTAACAGATATATGTATTATTCTATCATAAACATTAATTACTAAAACAACTAGCCAAGTTTTAGTTCTCTCAACATTTACCAAAAATGAATTTATAGTATTTACTAAGAGGGTGTTTGGCTGCAAGCAAGATTCAGCATTAGTGGGATTTAGTAAATCCGGATTTATTAAAACCATCCCCTTGTTGGATTTATTAAATCTAGATTTAACATGAATCAAAGACAAAATTTGAAGCTTAAATCTGAAATTTCATGAATCCCTGGAACTTGTGTTTTTTTATGCCAAACACACTCTAAGTCCTATTTTTGCCCAAACAAGCCCTGATGTTTCAAGCTTAGAAGTAGTAATTTTGTGATAAAATACAACAAACAAAAATAAGGATAGAAAGCTCAAGAAAAAAAAAAAAAAAAAAAAAAGGGGCATTTACAGACATAACACACAATTCTTATGTATTTTCAAATCTCACGCCTAAACTTTCATAGTCGCCCATAGCGCTTAAATTTTTAATATCACATAAAAAAAAAAAAATATCACTATTACCACTTTTTAAAAGTGAAATACACTTTTCACATATAGGTTTCGAGCCCCAAAGTGCTATGTATGTAAACATGAAAGTTTATGTGTGAGATATGTAAGTACATAAGAACTGTGAGCTACATTTGTAAATTTCCCAAAAACAAACTACTTCATAACAAGCTTCCTTACCCTATCCATACCAGCTGGAAGAGGATCCACAACAAAAGTAGGGATCTCCTCCATCAAATTATCTGGTTTCCCTGAATGCAAAACTCTTGTGAAACCACCCATCTCTGAACCCTCAATATCCTTCACCTTCATGAACCAGTAGTACATTATCCTGCACTGCCACTTACTGTAAGGCGCATCAGTCGCAGTGAGAGCGACATGAAATGGCCTCTTCGACCCCCTCGCCTTCTTTAACTCATTGGGCATCGCCACCAGAGGATCGGTTGGAAGCGAAAGAGCTGAGCGACCTATCAATTGATCTGTAGAAACCCTTCCCTGGTTCTGCATTGCTGTTGTGAAGAGATTGTAGGAGGCGATGAAGAACCCTAATCCCACGAGAAGGAGGAGAAAAGGTGACGCCTTCCCCATCCTCAGTTTACAAGTCTTTCCAAGGCTTGAAATCAAAATCTTCTCAAAGCTCCTACGCCCTAGCCGCTCGCTTCACAATAGCATTGATAATGCTGAAAGGCGCGACTTTTAAATCGATTTCAGAAATCATGTTTAAGAAGAATTTATTGAAGTAATGATACCAATGTAAATTTGCGAAGAGAAGCCGATCAAAATCAAATCTTTTTGAAAATGGAGGATCCAGGGTTAGAAAAACAATGTTTATGAAAGCTAAATCAAGATGGGCAACAAAAGAAAAGCAGAGGAAATAGTCGTAAAAGTTGGAAAAATGCGCTTAGATACTAAAAGCTTCAATCTTTACGTCTTTCTGAGGTAGATAGTGATAGATTCAAAACCTGGAGAAAGATACCACCGGAATGGTATCGGAGAAAAACGGAAAGGAGCGAGACAGGCTTGAGCTTTCACGGCCGGCTTTGCTTGACTTGATCGGAGAGCGCACCCGTTGATCACAGGGAAGAGAGAGAGAGAGAGAGGTGAGAAGAAAACAAAATCTCCGTCGTGGACTTTGCGAATATTTGTGCTGCTAATCGTATTTTATTGGACACGCAGGGAGGATTTTGACGACTAAAAATGGTATTTTTAGCGGTCTCTGCCCAAGTGGACAATGCAACTTATCATAACTTGTAATTAGCTGAATCATTATTGCGACCGTAACACGGAGAAAACAGCGATCTGGCGAGAGGTAGTGGACAGGAAACCGCGGGAATTGGAAGCTGTAAGATATACTCAGAATATCTGATCATTATTATAAAAATATTTGCCCTGCAGACTAAACTTGGTGCTTTATTATTATTTGTCTCTTTCGACTTCCAAGTCATCCAATGACAAGAGTTTGAACGGATAATTATGACTAAAATATATTTTAAATATTTAATTGTAATTGATTCAATTTTATAACTGATTTAGTTCAGCATACATGAAAATAGGCAACACAAATATAGTTATCATTGTATAATCATAACGCGTACCTGTTGCAGTTCATATAAAAATTTTTTACAAATTTGGATTATTAGGTTTTATGAGCAAGATTGATGTAAAAGTCATTTGCAAAAATATATAGTAAAAGGCACTTCCTTTACCATAAGAAGTCTTGAAATTAGCTTAAATCTGCTTTGTTGCTACTTAAGCAGCTATAAAAGCAAGTTAGGAACCATGAAACCTGCAGCCTTGAAGTTCTGCAACCTGCAGCATTTCTACTCAGTTCTACTTTGTGGCATATTCAGCTAAGATATTTTGAGCAAATTTTTCTACTTAAAATCGCCTTCCATTTTTCCCGTCCAATATAAATGATAAGATATAAAAATTGGGGCATTTACATACATAGTACCAAATTCCTACGTATTTACATTTACACCACCCAATTATTATATATCACATGAAAAATACCACCTTTTTAACTTTTGAAAAGTGGATTACATCTTTTTATGAATAGGTAAGGTGAGATGTGTGTAAAAATAGAGGTTTAGGTGATAGATATGTAAATACGTAGGAATTGAGTGGTTATGTATGTAAATCTTCTTAATAAATTTCATAGTTCATTAATATATGCCTTCTGTTCACAATAAATTAAATATGCCTCCAGAGCCAAAATGATGAATTTTGTTGCTTATTGGAACTAGAGGCAAATTTAAATGTAAATTACATCAGCCTGCCCTCCTACAAAGAAGCCTTGCAATTTTTAACTGAGTTATAGCTGTAATTTCAGTTCTTTTCAAATCAAGCTCTCCCTTCTTGGCTTCAGCTTGAGCCCATATGTTCTCCACATCTCTCATGGCTTCCATTCTTAGTTGATCTGCCTTGAGTGCAATCTCAGCAAGACTCTGGATGCTTTCCATAACCTCAAATTCATCTCCTTCCTCCCTTTCCTGCAACTTCCTCTTCTTCTTATTCTTCTTCGTCAACATCTTCTTCTTCTTCTCTTCGTCTTCTCTCTCTTTGTAGGCTTCGTTTGTTGGCTTGCTGTGCTCTGCATCCATTTGAGCTTGGTTATGTTCTTTGTTCTTTCCTTCGCCTTCTAGAGGTTCCTGCAAAAAGTGAGAAATTGTCATCAACTTTATAACTTGTGGTTTTGAACATAGCTGGTGCATAAAAAACCCTTAATTTACAAATCTTTTTAATAAAAAGTCAATAACTTTGCGTAAATAACCCTTAATTTACAAATTTCTTATAAAGATACCATCTTGATTTTTCAGTTTTAAGAGAAATAGTTCGTAAAATGAATGAACTTTTTTATATGTTTTTTTAAAGGAAGAATAGAGTAAAACAACAACTATGTTAAAAATTATGATGGCGCGTCCATAAATTCATATTTTTTATAGTGACATAGGGAAAAATGTCTCTCTCTCTCTCTCTCGCTCTTCTCTCTCTCTCTGGCTCCATCCTGATCTATGGTAAGATCTTGTTGATCTTATTTCAAATGTTCATACATCATCTTTGTGGCCACAAGCTATAAGCATAAAAATAATATTAAGTTAAATTTAGTTAAGGATATGAGAAGTTCATTGTTTCTTGCAAGCTAAATCTCTCTTTCTTCTAAGATAAAATATTTATTTTTACAAAATACACAATAAAAATTTTATTATTACCTATTTCATAAGAAGAATGTTCTATACCTCAGTGAAAATCCCTTGCTGATAAGAAAAAATATATTTTTTGACTGAAGTAGTGATATTACCTATTTGTACTCATCTTATATTTTTTATTGGTCTAAAGTAAAAGCATATTGTTGTAACAATACCATAGACTAGCTATATTTGAATTGTGTCAAATAATACAAAAATAAAATCACATAACAAACAAAAATTCAAACAGTGTGCGATTTTTGTGGTTCGGCGCGAATCCACCTACGTCCGCGGGGAGGGGTTATTTCACTATCAACAGGTGGGGAGAAAGAAAAGATTATCGAAATATGATTACAACTCCATACACTAAAATCTGCCCTAATCCCTCCTATAAATAAAAGAGGATTAAGTCACACTAATAAAAAATGAAAAGGATCAATTTATTCCTTATATAAACAGAGCCTCTAATACACAATCTCCACCTACCTCTCACTTCTAGATAAGCAGGAGATGAACAAATGAGCTCCAACACCAAAATGACCGCACTAGGTTGATTGCCTGAGTACCCACCTAAGGGATCAAAACTCGTGTAACTCTTCAAAATGCCCGAACGAGCAATCAATTATGAGTTTGAATGTTCACATAATGTTCACCAAACTCCTACGGTATGTGAACTTCTAGACTGATAGTACTTTTGTGAGCATGTATGTTTATTCTTAATCGTATCTATCTTATTCAACAAAACATGTCATCAATCAAATTCCGAATAAAATGGTGTCTCATATCAATTTGTTGGGTACACACATGATGAACTAGATTTGTGGTCAAGAATATCACACTCTCACTATCACAAAACACCATCAGAGACCCTTAATCAATTCTCAAGTCATCCAATAGTCCATGCATTTACATCGCCTTTGTGGTTGTCACGTACGTTACCTTCATAGTAGGCAAAGCAGCATGCTAAAGAATTGATCTCCAACTGACTGAATCTCTTGTCAATGTGAAAAAATAGTCGGTCATAGATTTGCACCTATCTGTATGATATGCATAATTTGAATCAGTGTAGCCTACACACTAATCAGTAATAGATGATTGTCTCTCAAATGCCAAGCTGACATCAACTGTACCCTTCAAATATCTCATAATACTCTTCAGAGCCTACTAATAAATTAATCCTGGATCATGCATGAATCTGCTTATAACACCAACCGCTTATGCAATCCCTAGTCCAGAATAAACCATGAAATCATCAAACTGTCGATTGCATACCTTTCATCTCTTGATCATCTTTAAGACACTAATTTAAACTCAACTAAAACAGAGATGCAGTAGGTAAACTCACTGTCTTACTCAATTCATTAACCTCAAACTTCTTCATGACATTCCAAATATATGTTTTTTGCGATATCCAAATCTTTTAGTTATCTTGTCTCTGAGAATCTTCATGTCAAGAATTTTATGAGCTCCGCCCAACCCCTCCATCTCAAAATATTTAAATAGTTTTTTTATCTTATCAATCTCAATCTGACTAACATGAACACTCAATATGTCATCAACAATTAGAAACAAGTAGATGAACTCATTATTAGTCAACTTCTTAAAATAAGCACAATGATCGTATTTGCTCTCAGTATGCTCATATCACATTATGAACTGAACAATCAACATGCCAAAGTTCTATACGTCATCAAATCTCATCACATTGATTTTAACGAGATGTGTAACCAATTGATGAATTGATTTGTTTTCCACTATCGTGGTGTGTGTTTAAGTACCCAATGACATATTATTATCCATGACTCCATCGTATCCCATAACCTAACTTGTTCCAATCTATTTGTCTTGCGTCTGCAACTTCGCCAGAATCATCATTGATGTGATTCTGGCTCTGTTACCAAATATTATGCAGAATAATGTGAAAAATAAAATCACACAACAAACAAACAAAATAGTGAGATTTACGCCGTTTGACAGTACAAATTTGCATTTGTTCACTTCAACAGGTGGGGAGAAAGAAAATACAACTGAAATAAGGTTACACTTTAGCACACTAAAATCAGCTCTAATCACTCATATAAATAAGAGATGATTATAACACACTACTATAAAAAAAATAACCAATTTACCCTTCATACAAACAAAGCATCTTAAACAACAATATTTTTTATTATCTTTTGAAACTTTTAAGCTTATTTCCACCAAAATTATGAACATGAAAATTAAAAATAAAAATTCACCTTAACTATGAATTACTTGAAGTCTAACATTACTCCTCCATACTTCCATCTTATTATTATTATTATTATTTTTTTGAGATTAATCATTTATTGAAACCAAATAAAGCACGCATCAGCTCAACAATATATTTCGTTGCCTACTTAGCTAAAAGACAACTCATAACCCTCACCTTAGCCGCCGCCACGCAACCATTCATAGCCGGAGCTCCACCAGTCGGAACCAACACTGCGGCCACCGGCGATCCCTCAAGCTCCAAAGCACCACCACCATCATTCTTACAGCACATCAACCTTTGAATCCCGCCAAATAACGGCCACCGCGAAAACCCTCCTCCCCTTTCCCCGGCCACCGTTGAGGCGAACTCCGACCGGCTTCGCTTCTTCATTGAGTCGATTTTATTCTTACACTGCGACGGCGTTTTAGCGGGCCGGGACCCGTCGGCCCGTGCCGAGACTCGACGGGCAACGTCATCCCAGTCACGGCCCATGAGCTTGGCCCGGCTGCGTAGCTCCCATTTGGATTCGCAGGCGTCGAGGAGGCAGTCCACGGCCCCTTCGCTCCACTCGTCGCGGCGGCCGGCGGCGACCGGGTGATTGGTCGGGTTGGTAAGTAGCGGTTTGGTTTCCATGATTTGGGGGTGGAGGTTAGTGGTGATCTTGGTTTTGTAATTGGAGAGCTGAGAGTGGAGAGTGGGGTTATTTCAACTTGTAATGGAGTAAAAAGGAGAGGTGGAGAAGGTTTGACAAATTGAGCATTAGGGTTTTCGAATATGGATTTTGTGGTCTTAAGAGAAAGTTATTCAACTTTTTTGGGTTGTCTTTGTGTTATTGGAAATTGGGAGAAATTATTACCCAATTGAATGTAAGCACAATGGTCTCGATGGTGATATACGGTAGTGCGTGGCTTATAATTTTTTGAAAAATATGATTATTAATATCTCATCAACAATTTTTTATCATCAGGCATGAATTACAATGGATCAGGAGACAATCTGCTGAGCAACAAATATTCAAACTCCGATTAAGAGTCATCTTGAGCTCTGACTTTAGCAAACTTATAGTCAAATTGATCGGTTTGACGAAACAAACCCAATGATGTCAAAATTAGTTTAATCTGAGTAAAATCAAGCTCAGATCAAGTCATTGAATCACTTTTGGAAATTTTCCAGGTATATTTGGAATGACAAATGAATATTGAATATGGTGAGCTTATAGTCAAATCGAGCGTCTCAACAAAACAAATCCAACGAGTTCAAGCTTGCTCAATTTTGACATTGTTAAGACACTCAAATTCATCAAATGACGTTTGATTGAGGGAATCTTTCCATATTGTTCAATTAAAGCAATTTATATTTCTTCATTAATTGCACTAAAACTTTATAAATAAAGTAACCCTCTTTTAAAGGGGGGAGAAAAGTTTGAAGCTTGAGAAAGATTGAGTTTGGAGTTTAGAGAATGAGCTAAACTCCAGCATCACTCTTGTTGTCATCGGCAACCGTCAACCACCACTTATCAGCCACCGCCGACCAGTATCAACCATCGTCGGTCATCATCGGTTGTCGCTCATTCCTTGTGACATTATAACTCAAGAGATTGTGAAACTCTTTACTGCATATGGGATAAGAGATTGTAATTGTATACCCCATGATTTTTTCCCACTTCAGGTTTTTCTCATAAAAACATTTGGTGTCTCAACTGGTTGTTTTCTTTCATCTGTATATGTAATGAATTCTCATGCAATATTAGGACGATAATCTATTATTCTATCGTCGCGAACCCTCTAGCGCACCAAGAATAATAAATTTGGAGGTTATTTCTTGAGAAAATTATATACATAAGTAATTATAAATTATAAACATTATATATATATATATATATATATATATATATATATATATAAGAAAAAAAACAATAAATGAAATTATATGCAATATTGCGATTGTAAATGTCACATGATAGAATATACAAGGGCTGGTCTCGAAGTCAACTTGCTCATTGGCAATCTATTAACTGGAATACAGTCCTAGAAGAAACTCACGCTTATAAACCTAGCATGTAACGAGTGGGATTCCGCTGGGGCTTGGAAGCTTGTTCTTCTCCTGAGCTATCTCAACCCAATCTGGCTAGCCACTTCGCTCCATCGGCCATGTCTGACGGTCATTGCTCGGAGTTTTCCCCCGCACCAGATCGCTCCGTCGACCGTGTCCCAGCCGGTGTTCTCAGTCATTTCCCGGCGATCTTAAATTAGAGTAATTTTTCTTACGTACCACTCAATTCGTATATATTTACATAAAACACATGTATCACTAAATTATTCTATTTATATTTATCTATGTTAAATTTACTATTTATGTTCATATAACATAATCCGATCCTATTAGATTATGTTATAACTCAAATAGGTCAAGCCTACTCCATTGATCGACTAAGATCAATTTACCTATGAATTGATGGTAAACTCTATAAATAGGTTGTTTCAACTGATTGAACTATTTCGTTCAAAGTCAACAAATGAGTTCTAATGATTAAATTGACCACAAGCCAACTTGGGGGTATAGATCAAACTCGAAAAAAATCGCATGCTGAATTACAATACACAAGTATGTAACTAATTCAATGACTTGCATCATCAATTAAGGGTCTGTTTGGGGTGGTGGCGCAGTTTTGCTCATTTATGTAAACTACGCTTCGAGAACATTTTCAAAAAACAACGTTTTCACACAACTGAAATCAACGTTCTCACACCGGACCTAGCTAGGTGCACCGGCAGCTTTCTAGCTGCGTTTTGGCTTATATATATATATATATAATTCCTGACAGTTTTTTTAATAAGTTACAGCTGCCCCAAACAGACCCGAGTATGTTATAACCGACTAAGATTATACATTGAAAACTATCCACTCTAGGTTTAATAAGAGCCCATTGATGCGAGGGTATGATTTGGAATTGAATGAGTGAGAAACATAGAAACCTTTAACTTGAGTATCTATTCATTAATTTATACCATGAATAAAGTCTTTAGGCATGTTAGACAATGAATCTATTTTACTTGTTAAAATATCTGAAAGTTGATTTTATTTTTTTAAAATAAGAAGACATTAATTTTTAATTAATCACTATTTAATTTTATTAAATCATCGCTCCTAAGACTTTATTTATTGAAAAATTCAAATCACATTAATTAGGCTATTTATATCGAACACTTTGAGTTATCATATTTATAACAATTTAATTCCTAACATTATATTAAAAGTATTACTATTACTATCTTCTTAAAAATGAAATAAACATTTTCATGCACAGGATTATAACACTGAAGTGGGGTACAAATGCAAACATAAGGGCTTAGGTGGTATTTATATAAATTTCCAAAAATATTATATGTTTTGCGAAAATCATTGATCATTTTTCATAAACAATAATTAATTTAAATAAAAAAGAAATAATAATGGTTAACTCTCCATGAGAACAGTGCTCAGCTTGCAGAGGATGCAGGAATCAAAACATTTGCTTCGTCAGCTCATCCAAGCTCTGTGCAAAAGCAATGCTTTCTTCCATTCACACACAAGGAATGTCCAGCGCTTTGTAATTACATAACCCTCTTCTTCTCTCTCTCTCTCTCTTTCTTCTTACAGCTCCATTCTCGGCCGGCCGACAAGCTGAGGAACAAATGGGGCAAGTTTTGAGGAAGCCGAGTAATGAAGATTTCTCTTCATTTCAACTCTAGTTTTTTTTTTTTTTTTTCATCTTTTGAATGATATATAGTCATTTGATTAGTGGCTGCTTGAATATTTTCTAGCTTTATGGAGTAAATGTTTGCTTTGTTATCTCACTTTTTGAAAAAAAAAATTGTCGTTCACGCAAGCTGAGTCCAGACAACAAACGTAATGCACGGAGGAAGTGGAGGCCCCGCGCATAGCGTCTGTTGTCCCATATTTTCTCCACTTTGTAGGGTAAATATGCATAATAGTTTTATGATATGATTTGACGGATTGAATCAATGAGCAAATACACGGTTTTTAGCTTATTTTTCTTCGATTTGCAGCCAAATTTGTAATAATTTTTATAGTTGGGTTTAACTTATAGAGGATTTAATGAATTCTGTAGATTTGGGTTTATCAAATCTTGGTGATGTTAAATACTGAAAATTGTTTGGTATTGTTGAGGTTAAATCTAATTAAATCCATTTGAACTATTTGATAATTTATTTCAGGATTTAGGTTTGTTGGTTTGAGTAGGATTTAAATATGAAATGTTGATTAAGAACTTGTTAATAAGTATTCTATTAAATTAATTAAACATTGAATAATTAGCAAAACAAAATAAACTCTATTAGTTTAACTTAACCTTGTTATAGTTAAAAAAAAAACAGTTAATTAAGGTGGCAAATTACTAAAGTGTAATCGAATACCAACTTTATGAGCAACTAACAACAAAGAACATTATAAAGCTGAATGTAATCTCTTATAACATCTTCCTGACAACAAATAACTTCAAAACACTCATAATAGAAACCTTGATTGAATCGTTCCTAAGAACATTATTCGATTAATTAATTCATAAGCCAAATCCTAATTAACACATAAGCCAAATCTTAATTAATTCATAAGTGTTGAGAATCACGTAGATATTTTTACTTTAAATTATTTATGTAGAAAATAACAACTCTTTTCCCTATCTTAGATGTGAAGGAGCTGTTCAACTAAGTTAACATCATTGCAGTCATTACCTGTGATAAATAGATTTACTTAGGGTTTGTTTGGGGCGGCTTCAGCTTATTGAATAATCTGCTGATAAGCTGATTAAAAATAATCTGCTGATAAGCGAGATACGGTGGCTATTGCAAATTTTTATTTTTTTTAGAAAAGTCAAACCGCAGCCAGAAAACTGCCACCGCATTTATATATGTACGGTGTGAAAACGTTGTTTTCAGCGTGTTGAAAACGCAGTTTACCCTAACAGACCAGGTGCGTTTTCAAATCGCCACCACATCGAATAAGCTGCCCCAAACGGACCCTTAATCAAACATTTTTTTCTTATAAATTAGAATTACATTAACAAATAATATTACTTACTATTATTTTCTATAAATTTGTGGTAATTTAAATCCATATAATATTTTTTTCAAAATCTCTTCCTTATCATCACACGTGCATTGGGGTTTTTATCATTGACCTCAACCTCACATACCTGACTATCATCATGTTGTATCTCAATTTTGAGATATATTGAAAAATAGATCATTCCCATGATAGCGACCAATGAAATTGTGCAAGACTACGCAACAATCAAAACGTATGCTTGCACAATAATTGAAAGTTGACGCAAGTAATTTAACACTTGAAACATTTCTTTCCAAATCCTGAAAATTTTCTCAGCAACATCACGTAGTTGTGCATAATAATGATTATATAGCTCTGTGTTGTTGAGTATTCGTGGGACTCAATTGCACAATAACCACTTAAGTGATATCAATATTCCCTAAATAGCACTAAAAGCTTATCAGCGTTTGAATATTATGAATCAAGTAAATAAAATTTATTATAAAGCATCTTAATTTCTCCCTCTAACCATCAAAATACCCTCAAATCAGTTATAGACCTTTCCCAACTAGAAATCTTCGAGTGCGATCATGAAATAATTATAAGACCGCATTGGATGACCGGCTAGCTTATTTGCAACGTATTGATGACTAGCATGGTACCCATCAAACATGGGTCTCTGAATATAATCATCATCATCATCCAATAAACAGGTTTCTTTGATAGTTGATGATATAAGTTCACTTATAGCAGTGTTGACTTGTATATGTGCATCAACCATGCAACAAATTTTATTCAGAAAGTAACCCTCGTAAAAGTTTTCATTGCTACATATTTTGTGAAATTAATAAATTAAAATAAAATTATAATAATACAATATATGCAATAAAATAAAAGGTTAGATGTTCATAATAAGAATCATAAGACGAAATACAACTCAATTCTTCTCACCATACCTCTCCCATATGAGCCTACTTATATCATTTATATGGAGGATGATTAAGCCATACAAAAAAAGACCCAAAATAGAAACAAATCAATCACAATATACTCGTTAAATAAAAGCCATAAATACAATATTTTATTAATATGAAGGCTTTGATCTGAAACTATTGCATTGCAATGATTTTCCTTTTAGAAAAAAGTTTCATGGCCATAGGAGAATTAACAACCATTAAATTAAGCTCATAAGGAAATAAGACTTGGGTTTGTGGAGAAGTAATATCCTTTTCTTTTTATATTTTTCCTTATAAAAAGTGCATATCTGATACTTTTTATGTAGTCTATATTCGATGAATCATGCTGGGTCAAAATGTTAGTTTTCATCTGCACATTTTTTGCTCTTTTATGAGCAACGATGCTGGTAGGTTCTATGTCTCGAGTCTTATGTTTTATTATATACCATAGATTTCATTAAACAACACAGTTTTGTCAAAGAACTTTGCTTGGATTTCTCTTCAGCTGCAACACTTCCCAAGCAGTGCCTTTTCTTTTAGGAAGAATTTTATGCAGCTTTTCCTAAATAAGCTTAGGTTTGTATGAGTATTTATGCGTTTAGCCCCTTCCTTTTCTTGGAATATCATAGCATAAAATTACCAACTTTAAGCTTTTCACTAACTTTTCATGGCCTTGCCAGAGCCTGGAGATAAGGATGACCTGCTGCTAAAGGAACAACTTGAAATAAAAAAGCTGATTCACGAGGAGTTGGATGAAAAATTTGCTAGCATTGAGAGTACTATAAAAAGCCTTGATGATTTCTATCAAGTAATTTATGAATTTGTGGAGTAAGTTCTTCATATTATTGATTATTTATTTATTAAGTGCTCAAAAGCTACTAGTGATTATCATAGCCATAGTTGGTAGACAAGGTAGACAAAAAAATGGGGCATTTACATATATACTGCACAATTCTTATTTGTTTACATTTCTAACCCCTAAGCATTCGTATTTACATGCATAGCACTCAAATCCTTAGCGTCACATAAAAAAATTTCTTCTTTTTTATGCACAGGCTTATGACACCATGGTGTTATAACTTTTTAAGTGTAAATATCAAAAGTTGGGTGTTAGATATGTAAATACATAAGAAATGTGTTATGTATATGAAAACTTTCCCAGACAAAAAGGCAAACTAATCTGAGCAGCTTCTTTTGTTTTCTACCTCTCTTTCATCTCAGGATACTGAGTGAAAAGAAAGGGGCTATGCAATACAAGTTACCTGCTAAAGAAAGCCTTAGAAAAGAAGTTACTGTAAGTGTTTTCAGTAAACACTTTTGTTTTGGGGTATTTACATGCATGGCAATCAATTTTTATGGATTTATAAATCTCATGCTAAAGCTTCCAATTTTACTCGCATAGCCCCCGAGTATTTCGTATTACATCAAAAATAACACGAATTATCATTTTTCAATAGTCAAATCTATTATTTCATGCATAGGTACAGTTCTATGCGTGTAAATATGATAATTTAGGCGTGAGATACGTAAGTCCATAAAAATTGCTTGCTATGTATGTAAATTTTCCTTATGCTACGTATATAATCATATATCAACAATATGAGATGGAATCAATGAAACTAAGATAAAAAAATAAATTTTAATTATAACATAATATAATTTAAATAGCATTTTAATTATAGAAGTATAAAATTTGCCAATCAAATTGTGTTCAAATATTTCAAAATTTTATAGCATCTTCTGAATCATATGAATCAATCAAAAATAAAATTTGATTATACTTGTAGCATATAATTATTTAAAACAATTTCTAATGCATGTAAATACAAATGTTTAGGTGTCTGCTGATAATTGTCTGGTAAATATGTAAATGCCCCTAATTAGAATTTACAACTCACACCATCTTTCTTGCAGGCAGTTCTAGATAACAGAGGAGTATTGGCCAACAAGAACTTACCTCTTACCAAGGAGGAAGTGAAGAAGGTGATCCAAAATGTGATAAAAATAGAGAATTTTCAAATAGGTCAGGGGGCAAAAGACATATTTCTATATATATTTGGAGTCCCAGTTGTCAGCTTACTTGCCAAGAGGATAATTCCAGGCCCCACAGCCTCCATACCTGATGAACTCTTCATTCCAGCAGTCACTTCTGGCACCATTATTTTTCTGGCTAAAACCAACAGAATCTGAAATTTGCATTTTCTTTAATTTATTACTTGTAAATTAAATAAGTTCTGATAAATGTAGTAAAACTTTTTTTTTCTATTTCTTTCTTTTTTTTTTTTTTGTGAATAATATTGCACCATATGAAAAGCTAAACTGATTGTGGAACAATTATGGAAAATTTACATAAATACCACACAAGTATCATGTAATTATACTATTATTACTAGCCTTTTGGAGAATTATGACACCAAATCAAAACAATAGACAAGAGCCAAAGGAAACTGAACAGAGACGAAATTAAGCCCAAGCAAGTACAATAAATTTGAATTTTTTGTGCAGTTTCGCCTACAACAAATTACATTTCCAACAACTTGATATCATGTTTTATGAAAATATAGTAACACAAACAAGGTTTTCATATTGCAGCAGGAGCAATAAAAAACAGAACAAAAAATATAAAATAAAAAATAATAATAATAGTGGCACGTAATTTGATGTGACAGAAGCTTAAACATCAAAATAACAAACCATGGGCTGCAAAAACCTTAAAAAAAAACTCTCAGAAACAATCCTAAGCAAAACTTTCACAGAAAACAAATCAGAACCCTGACAACTGAGGACTTCTTGTGACAAAGAACCTTCAACTCTACACAGGTTATATAGAATGGATGACTGCTTTTGGGTCTGGCCTAAAACACAAAGGGGCCACTACACCAAATTAAAGAAAAAATAAATTTTATTAAATATAAGCAGAGAAGTCTATGATTTTATGAGGAATTGTATGTTGTGTACAGGGGCCAGCCCCTGCAAATTGATTGATCTTCTGAATTACATTCTAACATTCTGCCTTGTTTTGATCATTCGTTTCAGTGCTGCAAGCCAGAAATTGCATTCATCCCAGTCGCTTGTAGTTAATAGAACCTGTGAGAGTAAGAAAAAGGGAAACTTTTTAGATCAGGATACCCTATAATCAATCTTTCGGTGAGAATGGGCCAGGTTGCACAACGGTTGAATCTGTTTTGAGATAGTATGATATATTAAAAATAAAGAACATTTACATAGAAATAACCCAATTCCTATGAATTTACATATCTAACACATAAACTTTACTGCTTACTCTAATACCACCCAAACCTTAGCTAATCAAGCTTGACTAGAAAAGTTATATAATCATTTCTATCTACATTCTTTTGTTAAAAAGATTCAAAATAAACTTCTGCGACCTAGGCATCATGTTATCTTTTAATAATATTAAGAAATAAAGGTCACACAAACAAAATTATATATATTATATTTTCAATCTTCTTCTACTAAATCTAAGACGTCGATCTTCTAAATATTTTCTAAATTATTCTAATTTCTCACTTATTTCAATGAATTTTTGACCAATCAACACCACATGACATGTTAAGAAAATATATTGACTCAGATCTTTTTCTAATAAGCACCAATCATCAATTTCACCATTATTCTAATTTTTCAATTATTTAAGCCGAGTACATGATAAATTTAAACCATATAATATGATCAAAGCATACAGTACGACACCCTACATTGAGCATCCATTTTAATTATTTTCATGACTACTACAAACAAATATGGACAAAATACTTATCCTTGATAAAAATTTAATGCAACTGAAAGCTCTAAATATTTCATAATTGTTTCTAATACTAAATGATGCTCTAACATAGATAAGTTTGACAAAATTAACATACCTTCAACAAATATGACATCATGCACAGCCCATCGTTTTTCGTAGTATTCAACTATATGCTTTGTAAATATCAACAATAATTAACCCTTTCTTTGCTCCTATGATTTCATTAACTATTCTTGATACAAAAATCTTTCATAATAAATAATCCTAAGATGAAGCCAAATTAAATAATTCCCAAAAAACTTGAGTATTTTCTTACAGCTTATGTTTCATTATTCTTCCCCATAGCTTCAGTGTATCGCTCACAAATTTTGTTCCTTCAAAGTTAGCACAATCTTGATCATTTCCTTTGTTCGTAAATATTATACCAAAATACTTCGCCAACTATTCTCCATTCTCTTAGACATAATTCTATCAAATAGATTTGCAAACCAAATTACTGAAATATCTCCCAGAACTCTCAGAATCTTGCTAAATATCTCATGTGGACCTAAAGACTTACAATTATCCATCTTTTTTAGAATTATCGTCAATTTATAGTTTCAATCTAATATATTTCATTGTATTCTATTTTTTTCTAAAAGTTGGCAAAATCAGTCGTCCTCTTTGGTAAAGAAATGAATGTTTAATCCAGAAATACTAGTTCAAAAAGGCTAATAGAGAAAGCTCATGGCACATGCGAATAATAGAAAAAAGGCAACAGGCATAAAATACAGATTGAACAGTATTTTAGATGTTGCATATTCTATTTAGAACAATTTTGCAGTCATTATTCGAAATTATCTATGAGTACCTGGATATGCAAAGCGCTAGTGAAGTCCCCAGTGTCCAAGGCCTGACAAAGTTGACGGAGCTTGGACGAGGCATTTGGCGATATATCCCCAGTGTTAAGTTTTGCAAATAGAGCCCCAATTTTCCTTGAATTGTCTTCAATTTCCCTTTTCTTAGCTGGATTTGCACGTTGACCACCTAGTGCTTCAGACGTCTCATGATAAAGTCTAGTCAATGTCAGAATGACTGGTCTTAGTTCAGCTGTTCAAGCACAAAACAATAAGAAAGTAGACTTAGTCATAGAATACAAGTGAGAATGGATAAGGAAAGCAACTTCATGCAGTTAGTTCGTTAAATGATAGGCACTAAAGAATTATATATAAGTAATTATATTGCATAGCTAAATGATTGGCCGTAGAAAATGACCTCTCAAGGTTCTTTTTGATGTGTAATTTTATAGTAAAATAATGATGTGTACAGCAAAGATAATTAAAAAAATACAAAAACTCGAATACATATACAATGAAACAAAAAAAAAAAAAAAAAACCATCAAACCCTTTAGGAAAACAAAAAACAACTAAATAAAAAAAAATGCAATTAGACAACTTTGCTCGAAACTTAATAAAATAAGCAATATGACCGCAATTTTTTTTTAAAACGGCCCCATTTGTTAAATAATTTAAAGATGAGCACCAGGTTCCCCATTCCACAATATGGTACTTCTAAAACCTTGAACTTCGTCATACAAAGAATATACTATAGCCTTCATACCATACATTTTATTTCCAACAAACCTTCAATGACAACACTTCACGCTATTACTTTCTATTCACGAATGATGGAGGAACTCTGAAAATGCATAAAGCATAAAGCTGTTAATTTGAGTGTGCAAGATCAGGGCTGCGTTCTTAATTCACATTTTTTTAATTTTTTTTATTTATTATTTATTAATTTTTTTGCCTTCTTGGGTGTTGAGCGGGGTCATGGGAGAACACTCTGCTCAAATAATGTGCCCCTCACCATGGCTCCTGTCCTGCAGATACCATTGTCCCTCGGAATAGTAACATTTTTAGTTATAACATTAAACTAATTTAAAGGAGAAGTGTAAAAATGATCCCCTAAGCCTTTTCATGGGGTCGATTTTAATCTCGGAGTCTATAAAATAATCAATTTAGTTCATAGACTCTTCTATTATGGGCTAACATAATCCTCATAAAAGACTATTTCAGCCCCCATTAAAAAAAATATAGGGACTAATTTAACATTTTTATAGACTTTGAGACTAAAAAAGTCTCATGGAAATACTCTAGGGATCATTCTGACACTTTACTCATTATTTTACTTAAGTACGGGATATAAAAAAAATGCAGAGTTTTGCGTTTTTTAGATCAATATATTTAGCTTAATGAAAGAAAGAATGTGAAAATACATGCGAATGCTTCTGTGATTACCAGGGACATTTGAAGTATCAACAGTCTGCACAGTGGGAGGAGGGGCTGGAGGGGCCACAACTGATTGTTGCACCTGCTGCGTCGGACTAGAAGGTTGAATGGGACTAAGACCGGCATTGTGGCCAAAATTAGAACTTGTCACAGGCATGAATCCCCTAGGTGCTGGAGATGTTCCAGGTTGAGTAAATCTATGGCCGACAACAGATCCCGGCTGCAATGCACTGATAGCAGGGGCTGATACAGATGGTCCAGGTTGATAATTCTGATTAGGAACTCCCTACAAAAGGTCATGAAAAGAAAATCAAGTTAAAATTATTTTAAATTACAGTCTGCGTCTAAGCTGCCTAGAATATGAACCTGATACAATTGAGAGCCAAGGGTAAGTGGTTGCTGGTACTGTTCAGCATTTCGAAGAGTGGGGGGGTTTGCAGGAACAAATGGCTTCAAAGCAGGCTGAGCTGGCGCAGAAGGTTGTCCAAAACTTTGCTGTAAAGAAATTTTAAGAAAATTGAGAAGTTTAGATTATCATATTAGCTTAAAAAGCCAATAAGAAACAAAGAAATTACAAATTGGAAGTTTAGATTATCATAGTAACTATAACTTGGAAAGATTGAGGAAACAAGGACAGAATCTATGCAGAACAGTGAAACAAAGGCAGCTCAAATAAATGAAATATGAATTAGTACAGTTATACTACACATTTATAGCATATTTAAACAATGATGTTCGTCTTCATGGTCTACAGAAATGTTGTCCCAAACAAATTGTTTCCACCTAATGAGATAGGTTTTACACAAAATGATAAATAAATAAATTGATCGTGAGTAAATAAATGTTGCTTACTGCTTGCAGATGGAGTATACAAAAAAATTATTCTTTTAGTTACTGATACGCCCGGACCAAAATCAGCGAGCAAATCACAATGAAACGGCAAAACTAAAATGAGGGCTGCTCTTATCAGAAACAAATGCAAATAAGCAAGCTGCAAATGTGCTCTACTTTTCAAGAGGTAGATCGGCTCTCCAACAACCCTAGACTTAGCTAGGAACACCACCAAAAGAAAAAAAAAAAAACCACCAACAAATACATGCATAAAAAAAACAAAACGCTAGATTAGTCCCTTTAATAGAATCCTCTCACAACATTTCATATACTTTCCTTCCAAACTTTCCCTCCAAACTACTTTAATTTCTCCTTCTTGAATAGGCTCATTCTCGCGAAAGTGACCCGGCTCCATCTTGCGGAAATGACTGGACCACCTAGCCGGTCGGATAGTACTCAACCGGTTTACGCATAGGCATTACAATACTCTTCTCCCAAAGAAGTGACTTGTCCTCAAGGTGGAAGGATGGAAACTGTTTATGGATCATCTCGTAGGGCTCCCACGTTACTTCATATTTTGGCAACTCTATTTGCTGGACCAAAACCTCCTCTGCTCCCCTTACTCTTCGCACACTCCTTCAATCTCTAATGACTCTAGGATCACGTCCAAGTCCTCTGTCAGCATCGACGGTAGTGTAAACGAGGGTGTATTGTCTCCAATCGCATTTATAAGCTATGATACGTGAAAGACTAGGTGTAGTGATGGTGGTAACTTAAAACGGTAGGCTACTTCCCTGATGTGTGTCATCACCCCAGAAGGTCCAAAGTATCGCAATGATAATTTCTCACTTCTCCTCCTGGCCAATGTCTTCGATCAATAGGGCCTTAGTTTCAAATTGACCATGTCTCCTGGTTCAAATTGCACCTTTCTTCTGCATCCGTCCGTCTTCCTCTTCATGACTTGTTGAGCCCTTAGTAAATGCCCCTTGAGCTCTGCTAGTATTTTGTCTCTCTCCTCCAAGTATTGATCGATACTAGATACCAGTGTGGTACTATGCCCATAATGTATCAAGTGAGATGGATACCTCCCATATAATAGCTTGAAAGGGGGTTGTCTGCGTTGATGTGTGGTATGATGTATTATACCAATATTCCGAACATGCAAGCAACTTAACCCATAACTTCAGTGTATCGGATAAAAAATCATGTATGTCTCCACAGTCTTTTTAACCACTTCCATGTACTTATCAATCGAGGGATGATATGTAGTGCTTCTTTTAAGGAATGTTTCTTGCAACCTGAATAGCTCATTCCAAAAGTGACCGAGGAACACCTTGTCTCTATCTGATACAATTGATTCTGGCACCGCATGCAAACGGACCACTTCCCAAATTAATACCACCAAGACTAAGATTGCAGTGTAGAAATGTCGTAAGGGAATAAAATGTGCATATTACTTAGGCAATCCACGACCATCATAATCACAGTGAATCCTTCTTATCATGGCAATCACTCGATAAAATCTATCATCACTTCCTCCCAAACTTTTTTCCCGGTAATGCTAATAATTGAAGTAATCTCCCTTGCGTCGTGGTCAAGTACTTGCGTCATTAACACGTCAAATTTTGTCATGTCCTCCACATCTCAGCTCATCCCAACCGAATAAAGCTCTGTCGTCAAACAACTGTAGGTCTTCTGCACTTTTGAGCGTCCCCAATCGCACTGCCATGAAACTCTTGCAATAATCTGGGAATATACTCCAACAACTTGGGTAGCATGAATCGCCCCTAGTGGAGCAACTATTGTCCCCTCAATGCATATCATGGATGATTGTTCAGATCCTATAGTAACTCAGTTCTTATCTTCCTCAGCCCCTCATCTCTTTCGCTCTCTTGTCTCAAGGCTTCCCAATCTAGGATCAAAGGTATCAATAAAGTCATCAATTGAGGTTCATCCACCTTTCTCAATGTTCTCCAGTCCCGACCGATACTGAATCGAAATCATAGTCCAATAGCTTGGATAGCCATCTTTAACACTCCTCAGTCACCATCCACTACCCCAGAAAATACTTTAAAATCCTTCAATCTGCCACGACCAGAAAAATGTCATCAAGATAGGTACGGTACGACCGCTAATTTTGAATGGCCAAGACAATCGTCATCAATTTTCGTTCATATATTGACTTTAGCCTCGCTCTGTTCATAAGAACATGACTAAAGTAGGCAATTGGTCGTTGATCTTGCATGAATAATGCTCCTAATCCGTACCCTGATGCATTTATTTCCACCACAAATGATTTAGTGAAATTTGAAAGTGTTAATACCGGGATGCTATTTATGGCCCTCTTTCGATGTTTAAATGTCTATGTCGTTGTTTCCCCCCATTTGAAATTGCCTTTTTTCAACTACTACGTCGGTGACTGCTATCGTGTTATATTCTCTCATAATCTTTCAGTAGTAGTTGGTGAAACCCAAGAATCTACTCAACTCCTTCAAACTCCTTGGTACGGGTCAATCAACCATAGCCTTGGTTTTGGACTGATCCACTGCAACCCCCGTTTTGGCACCACATGTCCTAGGTACTCCACAAGCAACTATGCAAAAGAACATTTCTTCAAGTTAGCATATAACTGGTGCTCCTTCAACGTCTCTAGAACTGTCCTCAAGTACTCCATATGTTGTCTCTGTATGATTGTAGACCAGAATGTCATTAAAGAAAACCATGATAAATTTCCTGAGATAAGGTTGAAAACCCTATTTATGAGGGATTGAAATGTCGTTGGGGCATTGGTGAGGCCAAATGGCATCACTAAGAACTCACAATGTTCTTCATGTGTCCTGAATGTTGTCTTTTGTACATTTACTAGATTCATCCTGATCTGGTGGTATGATCCAATAACTCATCAGTAGGCCATGTAGTGTACATTTACTAGAAAATGACTGTCTCATAAAGTTCATCCAATAACTCATCAATCACAGGAATAGAAAACTTTTCCAACACCAATTCCTTGTTCAAAACCCAGTAGTCCATGCAGAATCTCTGACTGTCATCTTTTTTTCTTCACCAACAGGACGGGACTGAAAAAAAAAAAGACTCACGCTAGAATTGATAATCCCAGCCTCAAGCATCTTTCAGATCAGTTTCTCTATATTATACTTCTGGATCTGTCAGTATGATCCTACACTGATGAGAGAAACACCCTCCTTCAAAGCAATAGCGTGTCTGTGCTTTCTCAGATGAGGTATTTTGTTTAGCTGTTAGAAGGCATCTGTAAACTGCTGTAAGAACTGTTGGACACCTTCCAGAAACTCTGCCAACTCTGAATCTTGAATCTCCTCAATGCTCTGCAACTCCACCAAGTAGCCCAATCTTGCTCCCTGAATCAACTTGATCATATTTTTCAGCGACACTATGGTTTTGCATAAGCTAGCATCTCCTCTCAACAACACCTTCTTACCCTCCACTTGGAACTCCACCGTCAAGGATTTCCAATCCCCCATCATCTCCCCCAATGTTCACAACCACTTCATCCTCAAAATCACATCTGTGTTGCTCAAATCTAAAGGAAGTCTTCCACCACCAGTAAGCCATGTAGTGTCAAAACCAGCACCTTGCAAATTCCCTTACTTTTCTCCACCTCTGTCCCCATCATGACGTCGAAGCTCCTTGTGGTCAACAACTCAACCCTAGCTTTTCCACAACCTGATTTGAGATAAAGTTGTGTGGCCCCGATACCCACCAACACCACAATCGGTTGTTCCCCGATTCATTCCCTCACCTTCATGGCGTGATTCGAGGTAAATCCCACCAACAAATTGAGAAACACTTCCATCACATCCAAATACAGATGCTCCTCCATTGCTTCCTCTATTGATTCCTCACTCTCTGTATCCTCCTCCTGAACTAAAAGTACCTAAAAGGTGCACTCATCGCAATGGTATCATGAGGTGTATTTCTGGTCACAACGCAAACACAATCCTTTGGCTCATTTGTCCTGCACTTCTACATCTATGAGGCGCTTAAAATTACCTTTAGTCGGAGTCCTATATTCTTCTATTTTGGCGTCTCTTTCTGAAATGACACCGTCTGGGACCTCGATGTCGTGGCTGTCACGATGCTCTTGTAGAATCCTCCGACGTTGCCACCTTTGCCAATCTTCTACACCTGCTTCTTATCCTCCATCATCTGGGCAAGCTCCATGAATCCACACAGTCCCAAAGGGCGGATGACTGCTCTTATGTTGGGCTATAGGCCTTGTAAAGAAGTTCACTTCTAGTCGTGCTGCAAAAATTCCCCTCAACCTCCCTGATAATAGCTCAAATTTCTCTCGGTATTCCATAAACGTCCTCTTGAATCAAAGCATAGAATTGCTCGTATAGGCCTCCTTCCCAAATGACTCGGAAATGCTCCAACAAGCAATTATTAAACTCCTATGACTGCATCGAATACCTTGCCTTCATCCACTGGAACCACGTTAAAGCCTTCCCTTCAAGCATAATCCCGTTGTCATGAGTTTATCTTCGTCAATCAACCCGTTAATTGCAAAGTATCGCTCCACTTTATAAACACATCCATGTGTGTCCTCCCCTTTGAAGATTGGCATCTTTAGTTTTCTGGCCCTTACATCTTCACCCCAAACTCCTCTTCCTCCAGTATTTTCCCCAATTTGTCTAGGGTGGAACTCCCTACTTCGATCATAGGCATATCCCGAATCCCTCCTTCCTCCATCGTGCTCTTCTGTGACCCTTACATCTTCCCTCCAATTTTCTGCCCATCTCACTCCATGGGAAGTCTCCACTCCCCCTTGTTTCGGAGTTCTAAGGGGACACTTTTGTAGGTAGATGAGATATTCTATGTTGTTTTCTCGCTCGATCTCCTTCCCTTTTGACCTAGCCAAGAATTCTCTGATCAATCCTTGGTTAAGATTTACAACTGAAGCGGTCTGCACAGCCTTAGCTTGCATCTCCATAAACTTTTCATCATCTCCCACATTTCTCCTATGCTCTTACATCCATCCTCCGTTTGACTTCAATAGAAGAAAACATGTCCTCCATGGTGGCAAACCTCTCTTCCATTCATGAATTGATTTGCTCCACCTCTCCTTCTCGCACATCCACTTTCTTTATTGTCATCCCACCAAGATCTATACTCTGATACCAATTTGATACGCAACGGACCAAAATCAGTAAGCAAACCACAATGAAACAACAAGCGAGATGGCAAAACTCAAATGTGGGCTGCTCTTATCAAAAATAGATACAAATAAGCAGAGTACAATAGCGATCTACTTTTTGAGAGGTATTAAGGCTCTCAGAGGCCCTCTTTGCTCCCCGCCTTTTTTGAGCACAACATCCAACCGTTCGCGCTTGGCTCCTTTTCGAGGAAACGACCAGCCATCCGGCTGGTTGGATGGTGCTCGACCGGTCCCTCCTGGACTAGTTCATGTATAGGCATAACAGTTACGAAACAGAAAAACAATATTGCTCGACTCTCTTTAACCTTGTTTTTCAGTTTCTATCGTTACATGGTCTAAGGCTCAAATCTAGCATATGATCAATCACAATTTGGACATAAAAATAGAAACGATCATATTCACTGAAGTTTTGATGATTTGATTTTCCCAAGAAAAATTTCAATAATGGTGATTCTCAGACCATATAATTGAAATCGAAGAATATATCATCAAAGTTGATGAAACCATATCTATGTCTCAAATATTATGATCAGATGATCTTGGTGCAATATCCCGTCGTAGATTAGATGCTACCTAGAATGAAAATATTAACTTGATGCATTTCAAAAATGATGAATTCGTTTTAGGTTTTTATCACGTGGCTCTCTCAAGTATTTGTTCTCCCAGAAAGTAGATAACTGGAGTGACAACCTCCAATATCAACTTTTTAAGTTTTCTTTGGAATTCATATTCCTCCAACATTTTTAACAGAACAAAAAAAGTTGACTTTTTTTAACGGAAGAAGGAACATAAACAATACAAATTGATAAGAAAATAAAATAAATGGTTACTACATGACTACATATAGAAATTAGAATCATCAACATAGTCATCATTTTAAATAATATTTTCATTAAATCTTGTTAATTAGAAAAGAGAGAGATAATTGAGATTGAAGTTGATGATGAAGACAGAAAATATTGACAAAAGTAAGGATAAAAGAGGTTAGCAAGCAATTAACCACAAGGATGATTCCAATGAAGAACATCCTAATAAAAGAACCGGAAATAATTTTGAATTCGACCTCTTAAATCATAACTAATTTATTTGAGAATACGATACTCTTGTTTATTTTACACTTCTTGTTTACACTTATTTATCTTGATTTCACTTAATTATATAACTTTTCATGATGTTACTTCGATACTTTTGATTACTCCAAAATTTGGAGTAAACCATGCTTAATTTTTAAGTTTACGAATCAAAAAGTCATGAAACTTACCCCTTGCCTCATGAAAACAACAAAGCCTCAATCTCCCAATGAAGCAATTTTAAATCTTGATAAAAAATAGCCAACGCGAATCATAACCAAATAACTTAGCTATGCTTCAGAAGGTAATTCAACAATTGATCAAACTTTAGCTGCCCAAAATACTACACTCAATGATACCAATTGAATGAGGTATAATTGCTTCCATACCAACTTGGCTAACCATAAACAAGTTATTGTTACATTCACTAATGACTAAACTATGAGATTGTAAGGTTTCATATACGGAGATCAAAGTACATTACGATATAATTAAATGCGAGCACTGCACAGTAGATTTCTTACTTGTGGAACCTGGTGAGTCTGCGAAGGGATGAACATCTGAGGCGACTGAGTCGGCTGGAATTGAACAGGATTGGCATATCCTATGTATTGCTGCCCTGGTTGAGCAACTTGTGCAGGTTGGTACCCGCCGTATGGAGCCAAATTCTGCTGATACCCATCACCATATTGAGCGCTAGACGCAGGCTGCTGCTGTTGGATTTGTGTGTTAGCCTACCATAGGACACATGGAATGGCATCAATACATCGAGATTAACGCTCTAATTAACTGTCAATTTTCTATTTAAAAAACATACCTGGTGGTAATTTTGTGAACCATTAACAGTGCCAGAAGCAGATCCACCAATATTATACAGAGGATCATTTTGAAGCTGGCTTTCTTCAAAACGCACGCTCTTAGACACTCCCATTTCTGCATAGGAAATAACAAAATGAACATAATGGTGTTTTAAAAAAGAAAAACATATTAAAACTCTAAGAATCAACCAAGATAGGACTAGTAAAATCGACTATAATATCTAAACACTAAGATAAATTCATGTAACTTGGACATTCTAAATCAAGCAAAGCCAAATTATAATTGTTCACCATTTTTAAGAGCACTATTAAACAAGTAGTAAAAGATGTACTTAGAGAATCAAAAGGAAAAACACTTACAAATAGAAATAGTTTGTGGTAAAATAATAATATGCAAGAAAAAATAAAATATAATAAGTTTTGTTATAAATTATTTAAATAAAAAATCTTATAGAATTGAGAAAAATATAAAGTGGCCCACAGAGAGTTTAAGAAGAAAAATTTATGATACTAAAAATTTTGTTTTTAGTGATTTTTAAAATAGATTAGATATTATAAAGAGTAAAAGATATATGTATAATTTAGCCAAACAAGGAGATAAGTAAAGTTTATCCCAAGTTAATTAAGGATGAAAATAGAAAGTGTTTTTCTTAGATGATGGTATTCAAAATAGATGGGTATTTTGATAAACTTTTCAATGAAGATCTTAAAAACTACGATTAACTTAGTGATCTTAATGTAATTAATAATAATAATAAAATTTTACTTTTACCATAGTATTAAAAAAACTGAAGTTTATGAGGCTTTAAAGAAAATGAAGAGTGAAAAATCAATAGGACCTAATGATATCCCAATAAAAGTATGGAAATTTGAGATTTTCTTGGCTTACTAAACATTTTAATATTATTTTCAAAACTAAAAAAAATACCTGAGTGGAGGAAGAGTATTTTGGTCTATATAATAATGGAGATACACAAGAGTGTATAAATTATAGAGGAATTAAGTTAATGTATCACACATTCAAACTATGGGTGATAGTAATTGAACATAGGTTAAACAATGCAACAAAAAGTTTCTCAAAATCAGCTTGGCTTTATGTCGAGCAACTCTACAATGGAAGTTATACATTTAGTGAGAGGTTTGATTAAGAAATACAAAGAGAGTAAGAAGGATCTCTATATGATTTTTGTTGATTTAGAAAAATTTTATGATATGTTCCGAGAGAAATTTTTTGGGGAGTTCTAGAAAAGAAAGGCATTGATATGACTTGTATTCAGGTCATTAAACATATGCATACGAGAGTTGTTACTTGTGTTTGAACAAAAGGAGGATTGATCAAATATTTTATTATTTCAGTTAGATTGCATCTGGGATCAACTTTTAGCGCATATCTTTTTTCTTTAGTTAAGGATGTTCTTCCTATACAATTACAGGGGAATGTACTTTTGGTGTAAGCTTTTCGCTAATAATATCCTTTTTGTGAATAAGACAAGAGAAAGAGTTCCGAAAAAAATTGAATTTTGAAGGTCAATTTTAGAGTTTAAAGGCTTTAGATCTAAGACTGAATACATGGAATGTAATTTTAACAGTAGTAGATCTAGTGGTGGGGTTGTAGCAATAGGTGATCAAGTCATTATGAGAAATGAACGTTTTAGATAACTTGGGTCTATTATTCAATGTAATGGTGTTATATATGGGGATGTTATTAGTAGAATTCAAGTTGGATGGTTGAAGTGGAGGAATGCATCGGGTCTATCATGTGATAGAAAAGTACAGCTTAAACATAAAGAAAAATTTTATAAGACGGTGTGAGACCAACAATGTTTTGAGGCGCACAAAATGACGGCCTATGAAAGAGAAGCATAAAACTAAGTTAAGTGTTGTTGTGATGAGAATGCTTAGAGAATGCTTAGGTGGATAGAATGCTTAGGTGGATGAGTGGCTTTACACTTAAAGAAAAAATGTGAAACAAATATATCCGTGAAAGATTTGGTGTAGCTCCAATGGTAGACAAAATTAAAGAGAGGCATCTTAGATGGCATGGTCACATCAAACATCGATCGTCTCTTGATCCAATTAAGAAAGTAGATGCTTTAGATTCAACTTATGTTAAGAAAGGTAGAAGTAAACCTAAAAAGACTCAGACTTGTTGTATAAAAATTATATTAATTTGTTAGAATTAAATGAAAATATGATATTTAATAGGACACAATCGAGAAAAATGATTCATGTAGCCAACCCACTTAATGGGATATAGGCATGTTGTTGTTGTACTGCTTTCCTTGATACCAAATCAATTATCAAGAGAGAGAAGTGCCAAAATAGACATCTTGTTCTTTGCAGGGGGTCATTTTAGTCCCAATGTGTCAACTTAATCTCCCGACTTTCTAAATTTGATATGAAATAGTCCTTACGTAGGTCTATTTTAACTCCAATTTTAAAAGTTTGGGGTCTAATTTGACACTTTTATAGACTCGGAACTAAAATGGCTCCATGTTAAACCGTCAAAGAACTGTTTTGGCACTTTATTCACCAAAAAAATTCAATCCACAATAGTTCAAAAGAAAAATAAACAAAATCCATGTTATGAGAATTTGATTTGCCAGGGTAGTTTACCTTCCATGCAAAGTGTAATACGATTTTGAAGGATAGCGAGCTCATGCGACGAATCTTCTGAGCCAAGGAGTTTTAGATAATCCATAGCAGTTGAAAGAAGGCCTTGACTAGCTAGAAGTTCTGCATAGTTCTCCACCAATTTTGATAAAGATTTACTAAGACGCTTTTGTCCAGACGCAAGGGCAAGAACAATGGTTTTTTCCATTAAATCCTATCAAAGTATGATTTCAGCCAATGATTATTCTGTTAAGTGATTACAGGAAAACATGAAATTTACAACGGTATTCATTACCTGAAGAAGATCAACGTAACTCCTCCCATCTCGCTCATATATTAGACTACGTGACCAAATTTCCACTATTTTATCAATATTTCCAGCACAGATATAACAGAGGGTAGCAGCAAGTGTATGTCCCACTGTTAACAATCGAGAACCGAGAGTATCACACAGGATAGTCCATTCATCCTTCTGAGCAAACTGTTAAGCCGGAAAAACTATTACTTCAAAACCGTGCATCGCCTTTAACAAAGTGAAACACTACCACAAAAAAGCAAAAATAACAAAAACACCAAAAAGTATACTTATTTTAAAAATAACTAAAACACTACAAAAGGGCTCATGTCATAAAAAACAAACAAAGTCAAAGATCAAAAAAAGTTCTAATGTTCGCCTATCAGAAAAAAAAAGGCAACTCTTAGTTCTAGAGTAAATTAAGCATTATATTTGCCAGGTGGCACTTCCTTCAAGGTTTACAAGTTTTCAGCTGAGAAAATCATTCCATTGCGTCAATAGACGAACGGACAAAAGCAGAGGGTGCTGGTGAAAATAAAACAGAAATGAGATCCAACAAGGAAAAAACACTTTACAAATGAATAGACTCAAAACAGCCACTAACTGTTTACATCGGGCCATTTTAATCTCAGTCTATAAAAGTGTTAAATTAGTGCTCAAACTTTTTAATTGGGCTGAAATAGTTTTCCAGGAGGGATATTTCAACCCATATTAAAATAGTTTGGGGACTAAATTAACACTTTTATAAAGTTTGGAACTAAAATGACCACCTGCAAAGAATCTGGAGACTATTTCAACGCGTTTCTCCTTCACAAATATTTTGGACCCATTTGCCAAGTCATAGAAGCCTATGGTGGCAAGGGAAAAGAAAATAATATGATACATAATTACCAAATATTATGACATTTACCAATGCATAAATCAAAAAGGTATATGTGTTAAGTTTCATTTAACATTTTCTCTAATTTATATGCTATAAAAATGGTAATTGTTCAAAATGACTTGCAAGGAATTGAGTTTAATATATCAAATCGCACACAACAAGTGACTTGAAAATGAGGATTAATAACATCAGCCTCAAGTAGTTTAGATAAATCTAATGAAATGATGATGATTATGATGATAAGGGTGATGAACAATTTTGTGACTGACCACCACCCAATACTGGAATACTACAGCGCGCAATCATCTAGAAATAGATAAAGAGAAGTGTCAAAATGGTTTCTTGATTAGTCCCAGAGTCTAAAAAATTGTCAATTTGGTCCCCAGAATCATTGTATGGGGCTAAAATAGCCATATCTGCTGACAATTTTAGCTGATATTAAAAGAATTTAGGCTTAAATTTGATATATTTATAAAACTAATACGACACCACATAAATAGTTAGGGGACCTACTACTTGGCACTTCACTCAATAAATAAAAATTGTGTAAAACTATAATGCTCACCGTGCAAAGAAGGGCAAGAGTTTCTTTCCATGAGTTAAGCGGCCTGGTACTAACAAGTGCCATCAGATCATTATTAGCCATTGCAGCAACAATCTGAATGGAAAAGTCGATTGAAGTTGAAACAACTGATAAATTTGTAATCCAAAGAACATAACAACCAATCAACGTTAATAACTGAAACAAATAATTAAAAAGTAAATAATCGGACCTTTAAATAGGGTGAGAGACTATTTTGAAGATACTTGTCCCTTGTCCTCTCCCACAATGAAGGACCGCCGACATGAGCAATAACCAGCGCATCAGCCAATCTGTTTGCTGACAGGCAAAACCGAACTGCTTCCTTATAATCTCCAACTATGAGAGCACGTTGAATAGCCTCATCAATGGATGGATCAGAATCATCCGAAGTTGCTTCCGTCTCTCTTGGTGCTTGCTCCTCCGGAACCTCTTTTTCTTCACTTAACTCTTTATCATCAGAAAGTTGTAAATTATTAAAGAAATCATCTCCATTATCGATGGGGAAAGAAGAAACATCTCCTTCAAAGAGTGCCCCTTTCTTCGAATTCTCGTCAAAATTAAGAGCGTTAGTCAACTCCTTCCCGAACTCATCAGATGTAACCTCCGATTCAGCAATGGGTACTCTGAAACCAAGATGAGTGAGCAACTTTGTCCTAGCTGTCCCATCTTCCTCAAACATGACCTTCAAAAAAGCCCATACTTCCTTTTCATCCTCAGACCTATCCACAAAAATTAAAATTACAAACACAAACGCAAAATTTGAATAATTAAGATAAAGAAGACAATTCCAAGAAGCATGTTGCTTCAGAAAGCTGACATACAAAGAATCCTGAATTTTTTTTTCACATAATGCCCGCAGTGAATCCTTTTCACCACTTTGAATTGCAGCTTCAAATTCAGCAGATCGGTGAACCAAACTGTCTTCGGTAACCAAATTATGCACATGAACCTGTAAACTAAAGAAAGTCAATCCCAGAGACAATGAAAAAGATGAGTTACTATATTGTCTAACCTCAGAAACAGATGATGAAGCACCAGGAGCTGCTGGACCAGGATGAAATGTTACAAGTTTGCCACCGAAACCAAAAGACACTCCAGCCGAACGTTTCAACCATTTTGGAGCTCTAAGGCGTACTGAGAAAACAAATACAAATGTTTTGACAATAAGCAATTGTGCAATATCAGCACGACAGCAAAATTGTCAGCATAAAAAAGGTGAAAATTACATATGGAACACACAATTCTTACGAATTTACATATATCATGCCTAAACTTTGATTATTGCATTTCTACAATCAAAATTCATCACATCGCATAAAAAATACCACTTTTAAATTTTAAAAAGCGAATTACACATCTCCATGCAAATGTTAGGTGGCCTATATGTAAAAATTGATGTTTATATGTTAGATATGTAAATACATAAGAATATGTATGTAAATTTTCCAAAAAATAAAGTTAAACATGGACTAACCTATAAAATATTATACAAACTTGGAAAAGGTTGTACTAACAAATAATTTTTGTTCAATAAATTTAAGTTCAAATGAAAAAACACAAGCTTAAATTACTGAATACAGAGTTTCAGAAGCCAAGGTATACATTGTTAGCTAAATTGTGGAAATAGCATTTAAGCTAACATACATGGAATACATTGCATAAAATCTAAGATCCTAAAAAATGCAAGTCCGAAATTTATGGGTTTTGGTAACTGCTTAAAGCTTAAAACGCTAACCAAACTTCAAAATCAAATTTAATAGAGTCAAAAGAGACCCCGAAAGGAATATTTCAGCCCCCAATAAATAAGTCTGAGGACTAAATTGGCATTTTTATACTCTAAAACTAAAATGCGGCCCTACAAAGAGTCAGAGAATAATTTTGACATTTTTCTCAAAATAAATGCATCCCTGCAATGACACGGGGCTGGATGTGCCACAAAGCGGGGGCCCGTAGGGGGAGAACCCTGTGGCACTCTGTGGGAGCCTCTGAACCCTCGCGAAAGATCACGAGCCGCGATCCTGCAGTTCAAAACCACGATATTTCGCAGGAGCCCGCGATCACACACAATGGCGGTAGAAACCGCAAACTTTCGCGATCCAGTATTAAGAACTGCCTCATGAGTCTATCGCACCTATCTTCTTCTAAGTGTTCTTGGATTCTTTTTGCTTTTTCCACCACTTTCCTTTTGTGTAGAGGTAGAAGGCTAAAAATAATTGTCCCCTGTGTGTAGAAAGCAGTTCTAGTGGAGTTGTCTTCTAATTTATTGTGTTGAGTCTCTTCCCACTTGTTAAGGTTGTATCTGACGATAGGTGGTGCTTCGGTTGTATCCTGCTCCAAGGTGATGTTGCAAACATCCAATCTCCTTTATTTATTCTCACTGACACTTTTTCCTACCTCTCCCCTAGTTGCCTACCACCCCCATACACCTCCAACACTCTACCACCACTATACTTCCCCTATAACCTTGCTTCCCTACCTACATACAACCAACCAAACACCATCACAACTACCCAAACAACCCCCCGACATCTCTCATCTTGCCCTACCACCACACCGACGCCACCACCTCCTTCGAACATCTTCCGACATCCTAACCGTGGGATTCGCCTATTATTGTCGTTCCTTTCTATTTGAGTCGTGTTGGAATCCTATATCAACATTAAGAAATTTTTTTTTTGTGTTCCTCTATTCTTCCTACTAGTTCTAGTATCATTTAGTATCAGAGCTAGCTCAACCCTAATTTTATCCTAAGGTTCCCAGCATCCGCCCCTGACCATCAACTTTTTTTTCCTTCCAATTCTCAAATCTAGCCATGCCACCGCGGAGATATATATCAGGTTCTACTCGGAAAGAGATCCAACGTGAAATTCGTCGTCTGCAACAAAGACTAGCCAAGTTAGATGATGGGAACCAGGAAGAGATTTCCTTCGACCATGATCGAGAGAGTCGTGGGGGGACAGAGATGAGGATCTTAATCCATTCCACGGAGAAGATCACGACAACGAGAAAATCAGTCGCATCGTTTTGGTATCCAATATCAAATGATGCCGAGAGAAGAAGCCTCTTATGCAGGTCAGAGGGGCTTTAGCATCAAGATGAGCCTCCCAGAGTTTGAGGGAGGAATGGAACCCGATGAGTTTATCGACATGTTACAATCAGTCAAACAATCTTAAAGTATAAATACGTATCAGAGAATAAACGAGTCAAACCAGCTGCAATTAAACTAAAGAAGAATGCCTCCTTATGGTGGGAAAATCTACAAACGCAGAGGAGAATGAAGTGGGAAGATAACTAAATGAGAGAATATGAAGAAGGAAAGGCAGAAGAAATACTTCCCACTGCAGTATGACAAGGATATGTTCCTCAAACTCTACAAATTACAGCAACGAGATGTATCAGTTGAGGATTTCACGGCCCAGTTCAACCACCTGCAGCTAAAGTACGAGTTGACAGAGCCAGTGGAGCACACGATCGCCAGATATCTCGGAGGTCTAAAGCCCACCATTAGTCGTATGGTACAACTACAACCATACTGGACGTTGGAAGATGTCCAGACACTAGCTCTGAAGGTGGAAATGGAGCAGAAACAAAGCAGACAACAGTCATTCTTTAGATCACCACCTTCAGCCAAAAAGTCACCCGCAACTTCTACAACTGACAAGGGTGCCATGAAAGGAAAGAATAGAATTGGATAAGGATCCGATAAGGCAGATCATAGTGTGAAGAGGCAAGAGAAAAGTGATTCCTCCAATAGAGTGTCAGCTAGGAAGTGTTTAAGGTGTCACGGCTACGACCACATAGCCTCTAACTACCAGACAAGCTGAGTTGTAACACTCACCGATCAAGGCATCGTCGAGGAAGTCGATGAGGAATCAGAAGAGAGTACAGAAAAAGAGCTTCAGCTCCACCGAGATGAAGGAGAAGCGCTAGTCATCCATAAAATACTTCAGTCTGAGCCCAAACACGACCAATCCTGGTTAAGGCATAACATTTTTCGTACCAAGTGCACTGTCAAGAGGAAGGTCTACAGTCTAATCATCGACAATGGTAGCTGCGAGAACATGGTGTCCATACTCATGATAAAAAAGTTAGGATTTGGCACACAAAAACATCCACGGTCATATTCCCTTACCTGGCTAAAGAAGGGAAACGAGATACGGGTAGATCAGCAGTTCCTAGTTAATTTGTCCATCGAAGATCAGCAACATGAACAGGTATGGTGCGACGTGGTTCCTATGGATGTTCGTCACATTCTGTTAGGTAGGACTTCGTAGTTTGATAGCAAGTCTTAGCACGACGAGTTCAGAAATACTTATTCTTTCAAGGAAGATGAGAAACATATCGTTTTACTACCTTCTAAGGATGCAAAAGTTGGGAGCGATACAAAGGTAGCATTGTTTCTCGCACCACATTTCTGCAATCAGTTAGAGATGTCTCTGTAACACTAGCATTAGTTCTCCTAGAAAGAAAAGGCGAAGAAAGAGAAATACCAACACTGTTGTAACCATTGCTATAGGACTTTCAGGATATTATGACTAACAACTTGCCTAAGGGATTACCGCCACTAAGGAACATCCAACACGTCATCGACCATATGTCAAGATATGTATTGCCAACCCGACTTGCCAACAGATTGACCCGAGGAGTACAAAGAATTACAGGGCTAGTCCAAAAAAGCACCAGCCTGTGTGCAGTCTCGGGCCTGATGGTGCCCAGAAAGGATGGATCATAGTGAATGTGTATCGACAGGCAAGCCATCAACAAGATTACCAACAATTATCAATTTCCCATAACCCACTTGGATGATCTCTTAGAACAGCTACATGGAGCCACTGTCTTCTCCAAGATAAACTTGTGCAACGGGTATCACCAAATACGAATGAGGCCAGGAGACAAATGGAAGAACATCTTCAAGACGCGGGACGGACTATATGAGTGAACTGTTATGTCTTTTGGTCTGTCAAACGCTCCAAACACTTTCAAGAGATAAATGAATAAGGTATTCTGACCTCACATTGAAAAGTTTGCCGCATTTAATATACAACCAGTTGGAGGAGGATCACTTGCATCATCTGAAGGCCGTATTCGAGGCACTGCAAGCCAAATGGACCCTGTTAAAATAGAGGTCATTATTGGCCGGGTCGTACCACAATCATTCAACGAGCTGAGGCAATTTTTGGAACTTGCATCCTTCAATCGAAGATTCATCAGAAACTTTAGCACTATAACCTCCCCTTTGACTGCACTTCTGAAAGGGAAGGAGTTTACTTGAACAATACTAGCCCGGGACAATTTTGACATACTAAAAGAAAGGGTGACCCAGGAACCCGTGCTAGCATTACCTGACTTCAACAACTTTTTGAGATATGATGCCACCGGCATAGGGATCAGAGCAGTACTAAGCCAAGAAGGACACCCCATCGCTTTCTTTAGTGAAAAGTTGAATGAGTCCAAGAGAAAATACTTAACCTACGACAAGGAATTCTACACCATCATAAGAGCTCTGGAACACTAGAGTCATTACCTATTGACAAACAAGTTTACACTATTTATACATCACGATGCCCTAAAATTCCTCAACAGCCAGAACAAACTAAATGGATGACGCGCCACCTGGGTGGAATTCCTATCCTCATTCCAGTTTGTGCTAAAACATAAGGCGGGAAGCCAGAACCGTGTAGCAGATGCACTAAGTAGTCGACACCTATTGATCACATACGAGCAGGCTCGAGTTGTGGCATCGAGGTCATAAAGGATCTATATGAAACAAATAAAGATTTCAAGAACATATGGGATCAATGTCGGGAAAAGCCAGCAAGGCAATATTACCGAAAAGATGGATACCAATTTCACCAGAGACAGTTGTGCATTCCCAGATGTTCATTAAGAGAGGCCATTGTCTAAGAAGACCATAGTGAAGGACTAACAGATCATTCTAAGAAGACCACAGTGAAGGACTAACAGATCATTTCGCCAGGGACCAAACTCTCACCTCCGTAAGAGAGCTTTTTTTTTCCAAAACTAACAAGAGATATAGAATGGCATGTTGAGCAATGCAGAATGTCATCTGGCAAAGACGAAAGCCCAGAAAGTTGAATTATATACGTCACTTCCAGTACCAAAAGCACCGTAGTTGGACAACAACATGGATTTCGTGCTAGGACTTCCAAGGACTCCAAGGAACAAGAATTCCATAATGGTTGTAGTAGACAGATTCTCCAAGATGGTTCACTTTGTACCCTGTCATCGGACATTAGACGCCTCTCACATCACTGATCTAAACTTCAGGGAGATTGTAAGGCTGCATCGGATTACTAAGACCATAACTTTCGACAGAGACGTCAAATTCCTGAGCCACTTCTGAAGGACAATATGGGAAAAACTTGACACCAACCTCCAATTCAACTCGACAGCGCATCCACAAACAGACGAATGGGCAGAAGTAGTAAACCAGAGCCTCGGTAATCTCCTAAGGTGCTTCGTGGGAAAAAACTTTAAACAGTGAGATCTCACCTTAGCCCAAGTTGAGTTTACCTATAAAAAATCCATCAAACAAAATACAGGACGAACTCCCTTCGAGGTTGTGTACGGGAGTAATCCGCTCACACCACTTGAATTGGTGTCACTCCTACCATTTTCAAAAATCAGCAAGGATGCCACAAAATGAGTTCATGAGATCCAGAAACTCCACAAAGAATTTGGCAAGGACATTGTGAAGCAAAATCGAAAATAACAGGCATAGGAAAATAAATCCAGGAAGAAAATAATGTTTCAGGAAAGCGGAAAAAGGAGAGATTTCTCGTAGGATCATTCATGAAGCTCAAGCTGAGACAAATGAACCCTTCAGAGTACTGCAAAAGCTGAACGACAACGCTTATAAAATCGACCTGCCGGGGTAGTACAATATTCAACCACGTTCAACGTCGTCAACCTAACACCATACTTTGAAGAGTCTAGAGCTTCGACAAGCGAGGTCAAAGCTTCCCCCAACCCCGGGACACTGACGCAGAGGGTTGGATGCACCCCGAAGCGGAGGCGATCCCGCAGGGCCAGAACCTTCAGGCACTTCGCGGGAGCCCACGAACCCTCGCGAAAGATCGCGAGCCACGATCTTGCGGTTCATAACCACAATACTTCGTGGGAGCCCGCAACCACGTGTCAAAGTGGGGGAGACCACGAACTTTCGTGATCAGGTATTTGGGTTGTCTCATGAGTCTACCACACTTTTCTTCTAAATGTTTTTTTTTCTAGATTCTTCTTGTCTTTTCCAACCCTTTTCTTTTTTGTAGAGGTAGAAGGCTATAAATAATTGTCACCTGTGTGAAGTTGTCTTCTAATATCTTGTGTGGAGTCTCTTCCCGCTTGTTAGAGTTGTATTCGACGACAGGTGGTGCTTCGGTTGTATCCTACTTCGAGGTAGCGTTGTGAACGTACAATCTTCTTCGCTTCTTCTCACCAACCCCTTTTCCTACCGCTCCCCTAGTTGCCTACCACCCTCATACGCCTCCACCACTCTACCGCCACTCATACTTCCCATACATGCTTCCCTACCTACCTACAACCAAACAAACCAACACAATTACCCAAACAACCACCAACATCTCCCATCTTGACCTACCATCCCGTTGACGCCACCACCGCCTTCGAACATCTTCCTACATCCTAACCAGGGGACTCGTCTATTATTGTATTTCCTTTCTGTTTGAATCGTGTTGTAATACTATTTCTACATTAATAAAAGTTAACTTTTGTGTTCCACTGTTCTTCCTATTAGTTATGGTATCATGCAGGCTTCGTACTACGCAGCACAAATGAAAAAAAAAAATGGTATTACAACAAAAACACTAAGCTAGTTGATTCAATTGCCCATCAATTTCATATGTAAATCAAAGATCATCAGTTCAATATGCCAATTTTGCGTGTACTGAAAATCAAAACTCGTTTGAAATGTTTAACATTTCCATTAATGCAGTTCGATTGGTCAGCAACAAAGTTTGAATTCATTGAAAGATCCCAGGTGAAGAGAAATACAAGATAAATTAAAAAAAAAAAATAGTTTACCTGGGGCAACAAAGTCGCCAGCACTAAGAGCCAACTTGTTGCAAGCCTGGAATATATTGGAGATAACATAAAATTATAATGATTTTACAAAAAAAAAAAACAAAAAAGGAAAGACTAAAGACAAGAACAAATCTACATTAATAAACTATAATCACTCCAAAATAAATTATAACGGCATTGACAATTGACAAGTCCAAATTACAAATACAAAAAAATAGCATTGCATCGAGTAGTCTTACTACCAAAGGGCAATCTTCATTTATCTCCTCTAAACAACTTTTATTGAATAATCACCATCAAGCATAATATACTCTCACTCAAGGACAAAGAATATCAACGCTCCATGCAACCATATGATACTTAAATTTAGTGCAACAAAACATGCCACATGCAGATACAAGGTCATACCCTAGCAGCCAATCAACAGGGAAAATTACCGAAGAAACGTATGGACAGCAGTAATATGATAGAATTTGGTGTAAAAGAGGAGAGGATAAAAAGAATAGATTACACTCTATATCATTTACTTCTCTCAGGTCCATCCTGTCCACTGAAATCCTTGAAATAAGTTATTGACAAATACATCTTATTTTAAGTTGTGCAATGAGCACAAGTTAATAAGTTGTTTTTGAAATTTGCTACACCACTTATCATTCCCTTCTGCTGTCAAGCCTTTGTTTACTCAAGTAAATTTGGGGTTGTAGATGAATAAATCAAGATTTACTTAAAAAATAAATCACCATAATTCACTTTCTACTTTATGCGGCTCCCGGGCTCCCGTGCTCAACCTGATATGTCTTTCTGTAGTATCCTATTTAGTGTAATTTTTTAGAGGGCGAAAATAATTATGCTTCTTCAATTTTCTAAGACTCGGTTACAAGATAAATAACAAGAGAACGCCACCACAATAGAAAAAGCCACAAAATCCTCATGCTAGAAAAAAATAAATAGAAATTACCAATAATAGCTAATTCTAAAAATAATAAATAATAAAATAGATGATAAAAAAAAACCTTAAATTCAGACACCCGCCGCCCTCAAGTTGGAGCATAGATATCTGTCATGTCCAAATTGCTTACAAGAAACTCAAAACTAGGCATGAAAAAGTCCTTCGGTAAAGATATTTGCTACTTGTGTTGTCGAAGTGAAAGGTATGCAAATAGCTCCATAATCAATCTTCTCTTTTATGAAGTGTCTATCAATCTGCACATGTTTTGTCTGATCAGGTTGCACTGGATTTTCTGCAATACTGATAGCAACTTCATTATAACAGTGCAACTTTATTGGCATGTCTATTGAAATCTGTAGCTCTTCAAAAATTCACTTCAGCAATAACATCTCACATACTCCATTAGTGATAGCTCGATATTTTGCAGCCATAACATTTCACATACTCTATTAGTGATAGCTCGATATTTTGCCTTGACACTACTCCTTGTCATCACATTTTGTTTCTCCATTCGCCATGTAACTAGATTTCCCCAGACATAAGTACAGTATCCAGACGTCGGTCTTCTATCAACAATTGAGCCCACCCAATCTACATTAGTGTATGCATCGATATTTTGTTGTGTGGCCTTCTGAAAGAGTAAACTCTTACCTGGTATATTTTTTAGATATCTGAGAATCCTGTTAATTACTTCAATGTATTTCTCAAAGGATGAATTGACTTAGCAATCATATAGCAAAGGGAATATATGGTCTTGTATGTGATAGGTATATCAACTTTCCCAATAATTTTTTATATCAAATTGTATTCACTGGGTCACCTTTCTTCGCATCTCTTTTGATTGGGATCAATTGAAATGTCTGCAAGCCTACAACCACTCATCCAGTATCCTTTAGAAGATCAATAACATACATCTATTGGGAAACAACAATCTCTTTCTTCAATATAGCAACATTCATGCCAAAGAAATATCTCAAAGATCCTAGGTCATTGGTCTTCAAAATTAATGAGAGAAATTTTCAATCGGTTCATTTCATCAACATCATCTCTGTTGAGAATTATATCATCCACATACATGATTGACATGACTATCTTCACATCCTTTGAATGCTTGAAGAAAATCGGATGATCTCTTTGCTCTGGAGTATACCCTTGACCTTTAACAATGTAATTTCTCAAACCATGCTCTCAGTGCCTACTTCAACCCGTGCAATGATTTTTTTAGTTTACACACATTTGTGTCGAACTACTCACTAAATCCTCAAGGCACATTCATATACATTTCCTCCAAATCCCAGTTAAGAAACGTATTTTTATATCCAACTGTTGTAGTGGTCAATAAAGAGTAGTTGCAAGTTATAAAAGAACTCTTATAGAGTTTAATTTTGTGACTAAGGCGAACTTCTCTAAATAATTGATGCCATAAATTTGAGTGAATCATTTGGCAAACAGTCGATCATTGTATCATTCTAGAAATCCATCGGAATTATATTTGACTGTAAACACAAATTTATATCTAACAATTTTATTCCCTCTAGGTAAATCAATCAATTCTCACGCGCCATTTTTTTCTAGAGCTTTCATCTACTCGAAGTCAATCCCTTTACACTTAGTAACTTTCTGAGTATTCAACACAGTATTAGGAATTTTCATACAAGACAAATTTGTAGTAAATATCTGAAAAATAAATGAGAGATTTTCATATGACACATAATGAGACAATGAATGTTGGGTACAAAAACACACCCCCTTTCAAGCAACAATAAAATTACTGAGACCAATAGATTTAGGATTAGGGCACTAGACTTAGGTTCAGAACTAAAAGACTCGTAACACAAAGATGATGTAAACCAATCATGGGGTAAAGGCTCGGTGAATACATTACCAGGAGAATTCATGGATTATGGGCAATGCAAAAGATATGTATACTTTTTTTTTCTTTTAGTTGTCCTTGTCGTGAGTATACAACGTCAAATGGTATCAATAACATAGTTCTTTTTCATGTTTCATCATTGTTAGTTGTTATAGAATTATGAACATCATGAGATTGCACTTTGGGAAGATCATAATAGACTTCAATATCTAAAAAACGCGACCCATTTTCTCCTAGTATAATATAATTTGAATTTTTAGGTTGAATAATCAAGGTTGGGGAGATGATTTAGTGAACCTTCGGTTTAAAAAAAATACTAAAAACAGTAATCAAATCTTTTATTCTGCCCCTTCATCCCTTTGAGATGAGGTAAAAATAAAGGTTGCGATTAAAAAAAGGTGACATCCATGGAAACAAACATTTTTTAAAATATGATCAAAATATTTTTATCCCTTTTAGGTGGGAGCATAACCAACAAACACACATTTTATGGCTCGGGTTTTAAATTTTCCTTGATTATGACTATGAATATGAACAAATGGAGTACCCCAAATAACTTTGAAGATAACGTAGACAAAAGCTAATTTATTTGATAAATTTTATGAAAAACATCAAAAGGTGTTTCAAAGTTTGAAACTTCGATGGGTGTTCTATTAATAAGGAACTTAACAGTAAGAACAACTTCTTTCCAAAGATGTATTCGCACCTGATTTGTAAATAGCAATGCCTAAACTACTTCCAATAAGTACTTATTTTTTTATTCAGTCATACATTTTACTATGGGATATCGGTGCCGGCCGTTTTAGTTTTGAAAAGAAAGATTTTTTTTTAAATATGAAAATAGTTTTGATGTAAATATGATTTTTGAAAGTAACATTTTGATTTTAAAATAGATGAGACCAAACGAGTCTCACATTTTTGGAAAGTTTGGATGACTGAGACTGAGCACGATATCACAAATAATACACTATCCCGAATGATAAGCATATCACTTCACAGTAGACTCAACCACCTAAACTAAGAAGTTTGTGACATCCGTTTGGTCTGCAAAACCTTTATGTATGGCCGACAAGTTCCCTTACTTAATATAAGGATTAGATAATGTTTATTTTACCTGGGTTTCAAGTTCCCTATAGCGGCAAACCCCTATAGTTAATTATATCTTAAATGACCGGTTAAATGACTTAATTATATCTTAAATGACCGGGGTCACTTAAGAAGACTCTCGCTTAAGATCAGTGGTTTTACCTTCCAGATTTCAATGTTTAGGCTTTCAAAATTGGACATGGGAAAATCAAATGGGAATAGCTCAAATAGAAACAGTTATTTTTAAGAAATCCAAAGAAATGAAGAGTAGGGAATATCATAGGTCCAGGGAAAATCCTGGTGATTTCCCAACTATCCTATTGTTTGATTTTATGTCTTTGAAATAATGTTATTCAATGTTTAATCCTGCAATTTATTTTAGAATTTATGACTTACATTCACACGATATATGATCGTACATATGGCCTAAAGAGATAGAAAGATTTACACTGTACCATACGACAACCTTGGAATCTTAAAAGTGTCAAGACTTATAATCGCACAACAGGGTTATGCAAAAGCCTAAAGGTGACATGTGAGGATTTACGTTGCGCTAGGCAAACCACCTCGAAATTCTATGGGTTGTTATTTAAACTAAGGAAAGTGATTAGTGATATGAACTTGTTTTGATGTTGCAGCGTTTCTCTTCTGAGTGTCCTCGTCGTGCTGCCCACGGTGTTCGCTCCAAGCTCCCCATCATAGCACTTTCGGGTTTGATTTTTATCGTTGAGTTTTTCCTACACTAAGGTATAGTGTGTAACAGAACAATAAAATATGTAGTATAACAAGAAAAGAACAGTAGAACGTGTGGCATAGAAGAGGAAGAACAGTACAGCATGTTGTGAAGTAAAATGTTGTAATGTAATCAACCTGTATATCTGGGAGGTCTGTTGTTCCTTTAAGCGAGCTAGTATATACTGTATAAACAAAAGAAACATTGTCTGACAAAACTCGAAAAAATCGACAAATAACAATTTCAAGAAAATTATCAAAATCACCAAAAGATCCCAGAATAAGAGACGAGTGCTTTGCCAAAAATTCCAATAAAACGTACAAAAAAATCTGAAAAGAGGGGACCGCAAGCACTCGAGTCGGAGCTAGGCTCAAATATAATATATTTGTACTCGAGGGACGTCGA